TCTGTGCCGGCGCTGTCAGCGCGCGGATCAATCTGTCTTCAGTGCTCTTCCGGAGACATTAATCCAGCGCAGTAACTACTGCAGACCAAGGCATCACCAGCCGTATCCTGGCACACAAAACATCTTGCCTCATTTTTTTTTATTTTAAGATTAATCCTGTGCCAAAACCACCAACGCCACAATGCCCATTCTCATTCCATTTGTTGGAAAGGCAGTGCTTTCTCTGCTGAGTTTTTTTTTTCTTTTTGGAAGCACAAATTGTGATGATTCAGAGGACACACACAGTTTTTTCTCAGCATAATCTTTTCCCCAGCTGCATCCTCCCTGGCCCGTCTAGCTCATTTTAATTGCAAGGGAGGACTGTAATGGTGGTGATCTTCCCAAGTTTGTTTGTGTGTTTGTTTGCGTAGGGAGTCCAAACCCACCCCTCTCCTAGAAAATGGAATACTTTAGGAAATATTAAAAGGGCGGAATATTTCCTCCTAAAAAGAAGGCAGAAACTCACACCCACCCCACCTTTGTCAACAGGCCATTAAGGTCTGAGCCAGTCTATTCTGCCTCCAGGCAGAGCCATAAGAGGAATCGCCCAAAGCCCTTTCCTTACATCATCACCCAGCAAGGCTCAACCAAGCTTGGGACTCAGGACAGCCTACAGAGTGGCCCCTGCATGACCCCATGGGAGTCTGAAAACCAATCAGAATGCAAGCTCAAATTCAAAAGCCTAGAGAAGGTATGAAACCCAGGCACACTCAGCATCTCTTCCCTTTTTCTTCAAAATCTTCAAGGCATTGTTGAAAGAAATGTCCATCTGGGTTCAGTTCCAAGTGTGGGAAAAGGAAACATGGAGGCTGTTTGGAAAGAAGGTTTAGTGGTGGACAGGATCACATGGCTTGAGTTCCTGAGTAGAAAAGGGCAGAGATGGTGAGAGTCCCTGGGTTTTATGCTCTCTCTGGGCTTTGAACTTCCTGGGGCACAGGAAGAGTATCCTGATTGGTTACTGTCAGAGGTCAGAGCTAACTTTGTAGGTTGCCTGTGAGCTACATTTGGTTGAAACTTGGTGGATGGGGCAATGGAGGGTAATGAAATGAAGTAGATCTTTGTTATGTAGAAAGGTCTGGTTCAGGCCTTAATGGCCTGTTGACAAAGGTGAGGCCTGAATTTTTGCTTCTCTCAGTTTTTACTTCTCTTTGAGGGGAAATATTCTGCCTTTTTAGTACATCCTAAAATATTTCATTTTTCTAGGAGATGGGGTGAGTTTTAACTTCGAACAGCATGTGATGCTTTTTTTCCATAGGACCTCAAACCATGTGGTCCTGTCCACCATTAAAACCATCTTTCCAAGCAGCCACCATGTTTCCAGTGTCTTCTTCCCCACTTGGAACTGAACCCAGAAGGACATTTCTTCCAACAGTTAGTTAGTTACCATATTTTTCAGAGTATAAGACGCTCTGAAGTATAAGACGCACCTAGATTTTGGAGAGGAAAACAAAGGAAAAATATCTGCCTCCCAGCAATTTGCCTCCTTGCAACAAACAGCGCAGACAATATACACTGTTCGTGGTGTTATATTTCAGACTATACTTGTACAGATGCTGTTAAAATTGATGTCGCTTTCTGGAAGTATAGTTATTCTCTGCTATTTCAAA